CCTGGTTCTGGCACCGAAGCTGCCTTTTATAAAAAATTATACACCACTTCATTGTAAAAAAAAACCCTCAAAGCAGTTTACAAAAAAATAAAACAGATTAAAATTACTTCCACTATCTAAGCATCTTTCTTTCAACTGTGCTGTTTTGAATCATCTAACAGAGGAAGTTCTCCGTAGTGGCACCCACCCGGTGGAATGCCCTCCCATCAGATGTCAAGGAAATAAGCAACTGTCTGACTTTTAGAAGACATCTGAAGGCAGCCCTGTTTAGGGAAGTTTTTAATGTTTGATGTTCTATTAGCTTTTAATTCTGTTGGGAGCCACCCAGAGTGGCTGGGGAAACCCAGCCAGATGGGTAGGTTGTAAATAATAATTTATTATTATTATTATTATTATTATTATTATTATTATTATTATTATTATTATTATTATTTCAGCTTCCTAGGATGTCCCTGAGTTCTGGTAATATGAGGGAGAGGGGAATTATCTGTCCATTTCCTCCTCACTATGCACAATTTAGGGACGCGGGTGGCGCTGTGGGTAAAAGCCTCAGCGCCTAGGGCTTGCCGATTGAAAGGTCGGTGGTTCGAATCCCCGCGACGGGGTGCGCTCCCATTGTTCGGTCCTAGCGCCTGCCAACCTAGCAGTTCGAAAGCACTCCCGGGTGCAAGTAGATAAATAGGGACCGCTTACTAGCGGGAAGGTAAACGGCGTTTCCGTGTGCGGCTCTGGCTCGCCAGAGCAGCTTCGTCACGCTGGCCACGTGACCCGGAAGTGTCTCCGGACAGCGCTGGCCCCCGGCCTCTTGAGTGAGATGGGCGTACAACCCTAGAGTCTGTCAAGACTGGCCTGTACGGGCAGGGGTACCTTTACCTTTACCTTTATGCACAATATTATACTCTTCTTACTTACAAGGGAAAAACACCCCAATATTCAGAGGATAGGTTGGATTATTCACTGCTAAAATAGGAGCAATGATGTTATCAAAGTACAAATTTTACTATTTCAGTATATGAACATTTCCAGATTGTAATGCTCAATTGCATTATACATTAAGCACTATTCCCGTAAGAAGTACTTATCTAGCTCACATTGTAAACTAAGCTTCTGGACACATGCATATACTGGGCACCAGGGGGAAATGGAGTTCTTTCGAAGTGTCCTCCTGGTAACAGCTACTGCCACTGACCTCCTGAGAAGTGTGATGGGAAGAGAAGAGGACATAATTCATGAGGTTGAGGTCTTCAGGCTTGTGAGGGTGGGGGAGGCATTTGGGCAGTATCATACCACCAATATGTGCAGTAGGATTTCTGAACTGGGCTCAGAACATACGAGTCATTTGCTGAGCCAAATTCCAGACACCCTTACCTTTTGCCCTGTACTTTCTAGACAGAGGTCCGTGCTTTCCCAGTCTGTGTCTGAGTGCCTTCTCTTCTTGTGCCTTGTCACTTTCCAAGGAAAAACCACTTAATGCTGAACTGGAACAAATAGCAATTTGTTTTGTTTTTTTCCACAGACTTGTTGTCAGTAGTAAAGAGTGGGTTTTTGCAGGGAAGGCTCTGAGGCAAGCAAAACAAAAAACACCACTCAGACACAGAGCTTTAAAGTACAGACTTGTGCCGTAAACACAGCGCAAAAGGAAGTCTGGATGAGCCCTGAGCCAAAGGGAGTCCATCCATTACTACCAAGAAGAGCTCAGCGCAAATCTCTACATCAGTCATCCTCCACAAGTTCCATGTTTCCCATTCCTTGCTCTGATTGTGCTGTGACATCTACAGATCTTTTTTCTTTTCTTTTTAATTGATTTATTTGGTTTTTCAAATTAAAATTTTACAGAGATATATCAAACATAAATCATAAAAACAAGATTCCAAGGAATCTCCTGGACTTCCCTCCTTCCCTTTGTTGGTCCTATTATTAAACATTTCCTCCTGCATCTTTTATGATGGTCCAAATCTTTTACATCTCCATTGTGTCCAGAATTCACTCTTAAACTACAAGTGATATTCCAATCCTACTCAAGATTTTAACTGTTTACAGTTGTCTTTAAGATAAGTTATAAATTTTCCCCATGCCTTATTAAAATTTTGGTCTTCCTGATTTCTGAGTCTTCTGGTCATTTTAGCCATTTCAGCATAGTCCATCAACTTCACCTGCCATTCTTCTATACAGTTCTTTTCATGGCAGACCTGATAGCTCTCTAACACTCAATCTTATGTCTACTGGGATCTAGGGCCAATCCATGGGAGCATAGAAAGATGCCTTACAGTGAGTCAGGTCATTGGTGCATCTAACTCATCATTGCCTACACCGAACTGGAAGTGGGTCTCCAGGGTTTCAGACAGGGAATGTTTCCAGTCCCATCTGGAAATGCAGGGAATTGAACCTGGGGTGTTCTGCATGCAAAGCAGATCATGTCTTGCAATACACTGCAAGTCTTGAGAGATCATCTGAATTCTAGCAAGCAGCAAATACTTCTGATTTGTCAGGGAAACACAGTATGGACTCAGGCACCCTGAATATTTGCACTTCCCTGGCTCCCTGGCGCCTGGGAAACTGTTATAGCAGCATTCAAAGCATCAGGGCTGGATGGAGATGTGCTAACTTGGATTAAGACCCAAGCCGGAGAAGAACTTTTAAAGAAAACGGCACTTGCTTCATAATGCCACCAAATCTTCTAAGCGAGATATTCCAAGACAGGCAGTTATGAATTTCAGCACCATCTCTAGTAAACGACACGAGGTTGCTTGTCAAAATCAGGGCATTGTTTGCACTCTGCTGCGAACAGCAGGTCGATGGGCTGCTTTAAAGCAATAGCGAAGCTACCTCAGCAATCAGGTAATCCCCGCTGAAATCACAGCATCCATCCCGATAGTCAGCCGTTTGCAGGGATATAGAGCAATCAACCAGAGATGGGTTCAGGTGAGCAACTCTGAAATGTAAAGTTTTTGTGAACTGCTTCAGAGAAGCAGTTTATTATTTCAGAAATGCTGCTTGCCAGGACCCCTCTTGGTGCCTCGTGAACAGGGCTTATTTTGTGCCAGGGTTCAGCTCTGGGTCCTGATTTGAATGCCGAACGTCTGTTCAGCTATCCTTCCACATTCCGAAGAAAAGAATGCCAGGCAAGTAAAGTGCAAATCCCATAGCAGGGAGAAACAGAAGAAAACACACACACACCCCTGGGACCAGGGACAGAGCTACCAGTCTTTGGCAGATGTGAGTCCAGCTATCTCTCTCTTGCTTTAGAAACTCATCTGCACTCAGGAAATTACAAGGACTCAACTTTCCATTTGGAGCTTATTTGTTGTCACACAAGGAAAGCGGCAGCAAATATCCAACCTGCTGCCCTCCAGATGCTTTGCCAACCAGGTGCTCTCCAGCACGCTGGCTGGGGCTGATGGCAGTTGTCCTCCAAAACATCTGGAGGGCACCAGGTTGGCAAAGGATTCCATCAAGCAACAAGCAAAGACTTCCTGTTCATGAAGGCGTCCTGTTGGCTTCCCACAGTCAGGAAAGTCTGGCCTAGGATAGTTGATTTTAAAGCAAACCTTCCCGAAGGGCATGTCAAAGGCAATTCTAGGAAGCAGCTATGATTCAGACCAGTGTTCAAGCCCTGTGGTGACGAATGTTTCAACAGGCATAAATTGGCTCTACTTGTGGCTGGAGATGGCACAGAGCTCTCCCTGGTCCTGTGGGGCACATGGGTGTTGCTGTGCAACTTAATATAAAAATGGCAAGGCAGTATAAGGAAGTCTGTGTTAAGAACACAAAAGCAGACCTATTGCATGAGACCTGCTGGATCAGACTGGTCAGATTCCTCTGAGAAACTCACAGACAGGCCATAGAAGTAATTGCCCTGTGTTGTGGTTTGCCCACGGCATTCAATAAAGGGCAATATTCAGGGCTGTCTTAAGCATATGCGGGGCCAGGGTGCAAAGATCCACCCGGCGCCCCCCCCCCCCGGTTGCCCAGTCCTAGGCACACAGAAGGGCAGAGCTGGCCGGCCAGCTCAGCGTCTTGCTGGCTCAGTCACCCCCAAACTTGCGGCGCAGAGCCACCCGCAGCAGAAGAGCCCACCGCGGCGCTCCAACCAATGGGCGGGCTCTTCCCCAGACTCAACTCTTGGGCCCCAGACTCTCATCCTGGCGCCCCTGAGAGCCTGGCGCCCGGGTGCCCCGCACCCCTAGCGCCTATGGGTAAGACAGCCCTGGCAATATTGCTTCTAGTCTGAATGTCCATTTAGGTATCACAGCTAATAGCTGTTAAGAGACTCATCCTCCTATGTCTACTACTGCAGGATTTAAAGCAATATTTTAAACAGGTTTTGACCCTGGGTGGGGGGGGAGCATAATATCAACCCTAAGAATACTCCTACTATCTAGCATGGGGTTAAAATGAGATTCCTTGATGGCTTTTACTGCCACTGGAAAGTCAAGTTTAACTCAAGTCTCTGAGCTTTTCTGTAGCACTGCACCCCATTTACTTCTTTGATAGAAGCTGCACTCAGTTAATGAGTAAAATGTACTTTCCCCCTCTCTTTTACTGCTAACCACAGAGCTGTCAGAATGCAAGGGTACCCACCACCTTGTGCTAACTAACAGGTGAAACTCTGAGAACTCAAAGTACACAGGTACACAGACTGAGCTTGACTTCGCTAAAAGACTTCCTAAAAATGGATGCACCCCGCCCTTACACTCTTTGAACAGGGAGGAGGTGTTTCTACACATTTTCCCCTGCTTCCTTCCAGTTATTTTGAATATTCTTTCACTTTGAGTATTCTTTCACTTAGCAAACATTACAAGAACTTGCTGTTTCAACAGGTTTCTTCGGACTCCCCCAACAACACACATCTGCAGAGGATTTAAAATGCGATAGAGGGAAATGCCTGGCATAAAGGGGGCATTTGTACAAGCTTCACCTCCATGGTGACCTTCGTCTCCCATAGCATCATGTGAATAGGAGTCAAGGAGCAGTTAACAGGGGAACAGAGGTCACTGTACCTGGCTCAGGGCTGCTCAGGTCTTGAAAGAGGAGGAACTCCTTGCAGGTGTCCAAGTCCAACTGGGGCAGGCTCTTCTTACGGCAAAGGTCGGTGACAATCCGAGCTGCCGTCTGACACTGGCTTTCCTCCTTAGCGACGCTCATTTCCCAAGCTGCATCTCCCTTTGCCTCCTACCTGGCTGATTTGGAAAGATCAAAGTAGGAGGGCAGAGTCCCAGTCCCAGTGCCACACACCCCGGGACTCAGGACTCCACTAGCGCCTGCATGCCATCGCAGTTCCTCTCTGCCCAGAGACAAACCGTGTGGCACAGGCTGAGGTCAAGGCTGAGGCTTGACCACTTGAGGTCACTTTTGGCACACCACAGCTCGCTGCAAACCAGCCCGTGCCTTCTGATGCTCTTGTTGCGTTCGATAACAGAGAGCTGCATTTACTGCCAAGGCGTGTTCTGCACAGGGATCCTCCTTCTCCTCCTCCTCCCCAGTTCAGTTTGATTCCCTCCTTGCACACTTTCAAAGCCTCCTTCCAGAGAAGCTATTTAACCCCTCGGTGGGTGTACCTTCTGTATCAGGTGGTGGAGGAGACATTGCAGCTCCACGTACAAAGGAGAGAACAGGAGCGCTGAGATCTTACAGCACGGAACAGCTTGTCACAACACAGAGCTGAAGCTGAACAGCACCATTGGTTGCTACACACGCAGCTTCCAGCACAAGGGAGGGAACATGTTTCATTTATTGGCTTAGCCCAGCCCTAAGATGCTAAGCTGCAAATTGCTAATAGGGGGCCAGCCCTGTTTTGTGTACGGTAATTAGATCACTGTTTTAATTTACAGTACCACTTCTGGGTTCCCACTGTCAGACCAGGCTGTGCAACCAATCCGCACATAGAGAAAGCGCCAATTGTCAGGCATGAGCAACGATCGCATAATGGGCAATTAATACAATACCCTGTAGAAACGAACTCAGGAGTGGAAGAGGAGGAGGAAGAGAATCTAACAAAAGAAAAGAGAAAAACCACGCACAAAAGATGTGCCAAGGAGTTTGCAGCCCCAGTCTCGTGGATCATAAGAAAGTGGGTGTCTGGAACAATTCCACTGCACTTACAGTGTCAGATAATTACCTGTTAACACAACTTTGTATAGCTGCGAGACAAATCTCTACAAATGATTATGGAGATTCGGCGTGCTATGCCCTCAAAACATAGTCCTCTCTAATTCCAGGTAGGTGGGAATCAAGTCTCCACGATGCCAAAGAAGAGTCGTGTATAAAGGAAGAAAGTTCAGTTGGGGGTTTCAATTGCACGTGGGTGTGCTGTTTTCTACTCCTGGCATTAATATTACAATTCTACAGCCATTGTCAAATCATTGTTAGGATATGTTGTTTATATAGAATTCCACTATGATTTAACTTCTCCTGCTTTCACCTCTTGCCTCATTTGCCTGCTTCTGATGAGAATGCCTTGGTAAGGAGAAATATGGCAGCTGTCCCATACAGGTGGCAACCATTTTGTATGGGGCTTCCGTTCCTGGTCCCCATGCACATCAGCAGAGCATGTATATATGTGTTATGCCCCGCCCCCATTCTACCCTCTTCCAGGTCCAAAAGAACCTGAATGATGGTGATTGATGTGCCTAAAATTGTTGCTGCCTGTATTAAAGACATGGGGAACCTGTGGAAAGATCAAAGTAGGAGGACAGAGTCCCAGTCCCAGGGCCACACTCAGGACTCCACTAGCGCCTGCATGCCATCGCAGTTCCTCTCTGCCCATAGACAACTGTGCACCACAGGCTGAGGTCAAGGCCACTTGGCCACTTGAGGTCACTTTTGGCACACTACAGCTCGCTGCAAACCAGCCCGTGCCTTCTGATGCTCTTGTTGCATCCGATAACAGATGTGGCCCTCCAGATGTTGCTAGATGACTACTCCCATCATCTCTGACCACTGGCCACACTGACTAGTTTGAAGAGATTTGCCATCCAATATCTGGAGAGCCACAGATTCACATCCTTGCCATATTGTTTTCCATTAGTTTCACCTAGCTCATATATGTGGCAATACTACCATTTATTTGAGAGCAAACCCCATTGAACTGAAAAGGACTTACTTCTGATAAGGTATGTATACAATTGCATCATAAAATGATGGACCAAAATTTTTCAATTGTGTTGTTCCTAGATTAATTTATTCATACTGTTCTGGTTGCCTCGTCAGGTTGCCTCATAAAGCTGGAGAAGGTGCAGAAAATTGGAACCAGAATGGCCGAGGAGAAAGGATATTTTTTCCTGTGAGGAAATGGAGCAGCATTTCTGCTTTTTCAGTTCAGAATAAAGATGACTGTAAGGCAGGACTTGCTAGAGGCATATAAACTTATGCATGGAGGAAGGTTTTTTTCTCTCCCTCCCTTATATTAGAACTCAGGGCCACCCGATTAAATTGATTGGCTGAAGATTTCTCACACTGTTCAGAACATAGAAAGTTGACTTATGCAGAGTCAACCCATTTGTTTCATCTAGTTCAGTATTGTCTACATTGACTGGTGGCAGCTCTCCTAGGATTAAGAAGGAGTCTTTTCCCAGCCCTACCTGATGATGGTAGGACTTCAAAGGAGTAAAAGCCCATGGAAAAGCCTACATGTGCTTTTTCTGATATGCAATGCCAAACACAGGTTGCTCCTTAATTTCAGTGGGCAGTCCTATGGTTTCAGCCTCAAATATGCTAGACACAATAAGAAAATATTAAAAGAAAACAAAGATGTGAGCTGGGGATTGGCTCAAGTTATTTGGTTTTGAGGGGGAAGGCAATATTGGCAAATATTCAGTGTTCCTATCCTGCCTTACTAAACCATATATCCATGGAAAAGAGGAGTTTCAAGTCAGGCCAGGAACAAATTAAGTCTCCATTCACACACCAGAAGCAATCCCCTTGTACAAATCTTCCACCCATCACACACTAAACCCAAATATGTTTCGTTTTTCCCTCCCATTGTTTGTTTGGTTTTCTCCAAGTGTCTCTGATTTCTGAATATTGTACAGCTGCTCTGGGATTTACAGGAAAGATTAATGATGGGTAGCTTTTTAATGACAATATATATGGTATCTGATTACTTGGGTGTGGGTGACTAAATGCTGTGTGGTTAGGAGCTTACAATGTTTATAGCTGCAGAAACTAAGTGGAGGAAGATAGTTTGGAGACAAATCATTGAACACTTTTAAAGCATCCTCTTCACACTGAGAACAGCTCACACTTCCCAGAATAAAGGATGACTCACACCACAGCATATACCCCGTCACAGGTTAGGAAGTAAAGCGACAACTTTTTCCATTCCACCTTATGTCCCTTGCATGCAGTACTGTTTCTCTTCTGCTGCAATTCTTCTTCCCTCTACATTACTTGAATCACTGTTTGCTGTGGTGAAATTGCGTAATTTACATAACTTATGTAATTAAGTATGGAATTATGTAAATTACCTTGCCATTATGTTGCTGCTTTTTATTTATTTAAACCAAGTTCAAAGAGAGATAAATGCAACCACACCATCACCAACCACCACAAAATGGTATTCTTTATTTTATTATATTGAAAACTTTTATACTTTTATACACATGTGTCTCAAAGCCATTGCAGAATATGGAGGTGGAAGGACTAAAAGTCATTCATCTGCACATCAGCTTTAAGCAATAATATTGCAGAGTTGCAACTGACAAGCAATGTAATAAATCAATTAACACCACTTTCCGAACGTTAGATGCCACTATAGCTATATTGATGCAAACCACTTTATGCATTCATCAGAGTGTGAGACAGGAATGGCAAGATGAGATACGCCAGTACTGCACCTACCTTAAGAAATCAGTCTAGGGCTTCAGTCCTAAACACATTTGTGAAGGAGTAAGCCCTATTAAACACAATGGGCCTTCTTTCTGACAAATCATGCATAGGGGTGTACTATAATTGTCTATCACAGATGTGACTGTTGACAATGACTGCTCTATAACGACACGGTTTCCTTGTTACTCTGAAAAAAGAACAGCATCCAAAGCCATCAACTTGAGGTCATCACCTTGTTGAAGCTCAGCAGTTCTGGGTCTAGTCAGTGCCTGAATGGGAAGGAACCCCATGTACAGCACCCTAGGTTTCATGATGAAAGGAAAGGTGGACTATAAAAGTAAGAAAATGTTTCTTAAAAAATTGTTTCAATTGCAGAGTCTGCAAGCCTATGCGATGCCCATTGCTTCTCACCATTTCTCTTGGTCTGAAGATCAGTTTAGAAAGCGGGGTACAGGAAAAAAATAATTCATCTGGATTGAACATCAGAAATGACATCGAGGAATCAACTTGTCATTCTGAGTGAAAGGTTATAAAGGAAGAAAAAAATTCAATCAGCCACAAAACATAACCAAGACTAGAATAAAATGCACAATAATATCCCAGAATGTCAACTTAATGAATCGCTTCAGAGCACAGGGAGAAAGTTCTGCCTAGTGGAAGAGGCAGCCACACCAGGCAAAATGTGCCTTTGTCATTCAGCTGCATTCAGTGGCCCTGGTGAAGGGCCCTCCATGTTAGTCTACACATAGCCTCCAAGAACTAGAAACATAAGACATGGTCACATATGCATTGCATCTGTTTGGTACCCTATATGTAGTTACCTATATGTTTTGTTATTGTATTGTATCTTGTTTTATTATATTTGAAGGTATTATTGTTTTTATATGTGTATGGGTCTTATGTTTCTGGTGTTTCTCCTGTAGGAGACGACCTCTAATGCAGGCATAGGCAACCTCAGCCCTCCAGATATTTTGGGGGACTACAATTCCCATCATCCCTGACCACTGGACCTGTTAGCTAGGTATCATGGGAGTTGTAGTCCCAAAACATCTGGAGGGCCGAGTTTGCCTATGCCTGCTCTAATGTGTATATATTTTTGTATGACCAAAACAAAACTCATTTTAGATCTTGTATTAGAGCCAACAATTCTAGCGACTGAGAGATTTCTCTAGTTCAATTCTCTGAGGATGCATACATTTAAAGCACACAACTTTCCCAAAAGAATCTTGGGAACTGTAGTTTCTTATGGTGGTTTGCTGGGAATGAGTCATGTGAACCTGTTTCCAATGTAAAATAAATAAAACCCCACCAAGTGGCATATCATTTTTCTGGTTTCTCTCTTCAATTTATTCATTCAGAATAAATTTATTCAGAAATGGACAGAGTCTGCAGATCTTTTATCAGAAGGGTGTCAGGAGATTGTAATATTTTCAACTTCTGAGCCACAGAGATCCTGGCTGCTGCCAGCACCCAAGTCAAAAGCCCCTTGGAATGAAAAATAATTCATTTGATCACCCCATAAATTAAAATGTGGGGAAGGCTGCACAATACACTTAAATATATTATATATGTCTTGATACAGTTCAGTCCATATTTCATTCTTATACACATTCATTGGTTTAACAAGGTATTTTGCTAGAATTTCTCACTAAAAATTTCCCCATGTGCCAGAATGCACAGCCAGTAAGCTACTTCTTAGTTTTAAGGATAGTTTTACAAGGTTCTGTTAATTTTGCATCCTCTGGGATTTGGGTATGTAGATCTAAAGCTCCTTTTTTCTCTCTTACAGGTTGTCTATACAGA